TGAAAATAACCTGTTGATGAAACTGTAAGAAGACAACTAATAATTAACAGGCTCATGAATATTTATGAATAAAGTGCCACTAATTTTACTGTAATAAGATATAAATAGAATAAACCTGACATGGATAGTAGCTTTAATGTGTTCTCTGCATCCTGAGAACAGAAGGGCCACAAAAAACAAAGCATTACCATCAAACGTGAGTTCTAGGATTATACAGGTAACTTTAATACAGAAGTAACAATAAAAACAAACCTATTATAATAAGGACAAAGTAAGACTTTAAAAGTAATAAAAGTCCCAAGAATAATGCCAACACAGTAGGCCCTTTTTGGGGAAAAAAAGGGGGGGAGAGAAATTAGAAATGTAAAAGTTCATTAATAACTATCACCATATATATTCAAGAAAATGATAGTGACAGCCCAATGGGGACCAGCTCCAAGGACAGGAGCTCGAGAACTTGTGCCCGACAGCTGGTACAGCTGAGAAAACAGATAGACCAGTATGAGCGGTCCAGGAAAGGGGACGCAGACATTAGGTTTTTCAGAGGTTCAAAATCTATGTCACTAAAACCCAATGTGCATGCTTTATATGGCGACCGCCCACAGGCCAAACAGGCGTCCACTTGGAGACACAGATGTGACCCGGGGCTGGGCCGAGTTGCTCAGGAGAACTCAGTAACAGAAACCCATCGGCTGCCACCCTGTTTACAGTCCCCCCATCACCGCCAACAGCTTTGCTTCCAGCTCAGGATTCTTCCCTCGTCATAACGGAGTCACCAACAACTGCGCTCCATCTGAAATGCTGCAAGCAGGTGAGAATCCCTCCGAGTCTAACAAAGCCTGGGGCATTTATTTATCCTAAACCAGCAGCTACCCTTCATTGAGAATTATAAAACAGAAGCTCCCATTCTTGAGTTTCTGAGGTTTGCCTCAGCCAGGAAAATAAACGCCACTGGTCTCCAGCATTTCCTCGTGGGAAGAACAACCGCAAGGGCACAGGTGAGAGCAGAGCGCTCTGCGACGGGGACGGGGCTGATCACGGTCATCCTGTGAGGTACTCTGTAAAATTGAATGTGCCAACAATAGGAGAAAAGAGAGCCGTGTGCTTCTAGGACGGGGGAAGGCCCTCCCCACGGGAGTGATCCCTGCTCTGGCCCCAGCACCGTGACAAGTGAGTAGCTGTCACTATCTACTTTCACCCAAACCCAAGCGTTCGGCATTCAGACAGGTGGAGCGAGGTGCCATCTGAAGCACTCCCAGTTGCGCACCGAGGAGCCAGGAACTGCTGTGGCCTCCCTGAGGACCCGGCTGCCTGGAATAAAAGGAGGGGGTCAGCTCTGTAGCGTGGGCCCCACGCGGCAGCTCTGCCAGCCAGCACCGCGGCTCCCGGACCCCTGGCATCTGTTGGGGCCGGCTGGTGCCCAAGCTGGCAGGGCTGGCAAGTATTCTGAGTGTCATCCCCAATGGCCTCGAAAGGAAAGAGGACTCTGTCCTTCATTGTCATTGCTACTGAGCTGCTGAAACCTCTTACAAAAATCAGCAAGCATTTACCAAGGGAACGCCCACAGCAAACCCGGCCTGAAAAGGGCCCTTCTGACTCCGCGTCAGACAAGCGTGTGCAAAGGCAATGAAGTCATTCAGCTCAGAGCTACCAAGCAAGACACTGAAAGCAAAGATATTCGATCCTCCTTATTTGCTGAACCTCTCTCTCCAGAACCAACTTCTTCAGAAACACATTTTAAAAGAAACAAAAAACCAAAATGGAAAACAATGCCACTTACTCGTCGGAAGACATCACTCTGACACATCATGAATCTTGCAGAGACCTAACACCAGGCAGCTTCACAAACACACAGCAAGTTTGCAGAAGTGTAATGATCAACAAGAGTAAACCCAAACTGCACTAAATACTCCCACGGCCGAGAAAAGCAGGGGCTGTTTTCAGGACAATGCAATAGTGACAGCGTATTTCCTCGTGTGCAGCACGATTTGCTATGTTTAGTGGCACTTAAGTATTACACAGTAAATACTGAAAAAACCCAGAAGTTTTGGATGTGCAGAAGCAATATCACATTATTCATACAAAAGGTGCTACACTATAGGATTAGAATACCACTATTTGGGTGTGGAGATCACGTAAAATCTTCAGCACGCTTCCAACACGCGGCCCCCCCGCTGGCACCGCCTGGCACCGCGCTGTCCGCCTGCCCCGCGAGGCCGCCCCGGCCCGCTCAGTCGGACCAGTCGTTCTCGTCGAACTCCGAGTCGTCGTCGGAGTCGCTGTACTCCACGGCGATGCGCCGGGACAGGATTGTGGCCACGTCGTTCCCCACCGGCTCCCGCCTGGCTTCCTGCTCACGCTGCTCCTGGACCTTTTTCAGCTGAATTCCTGGAGACACGACACGTAGTTTAGAATCAAATCCCTCTGTATGCTCCAAGTTAAAGAAAAATAAACTGAAAGTCTGTTGGACTTTTTTTGTCTATCGACATGAAGTATTAAAGTGTCAGAAATTTGAGGGGAGAAAAGCTCAGGGAATATTAGAAGTTTCGTGACCAAAAAATTGCGCACCCAAAGTTGTAACATTTTTTATAAAAAAGCAATGTGTTAAAGCATAAAAAAGTTAAGTTATAATTTCAGTGCACAAGAACAGCAGCAAAGAAAATTCTAGAGCCACAGTGTCCCAGACAGTAGCCATGGCCACATGTCGCTCTTCAGGCATAAACTGGCATGTGCTAGTGGCACCATCCGGACGGCACAGGCTGGATCGTTTCCACCATCACAGAACGCCTGACTGGACAGCGCCGCGATCCAGTTCTGGAACCAGCTCTACCTACTGGCTCCCAGCTACCCTGAGGACTAACTAAGAAACTTGTTTCAACAACTGTCATTGAAAACGGATATAAAATACAATCATCTACTTTCTTGCCTAGTTACAAAGTAAGTTATCTGATGATTTAATGTTTATCCATTCATTTTTTTTAACCTTTTGTTTGGCAATAATTTCAGATTCATGGAACAACTAGAAGACCAGCAGGAAAACATTCCCACACACTCTACACCCAGGTTCCCCAACTGCCAGCGTTTGACCACGTTTCCCAATCTTTCCGTCATCCTCACGCGTGTGCACTTTTCTATGGACCGTTTTAGAGTAACTGGCATGAACGTCCCTTTACTCCTAAAATACTTCATGTGTTATTTCCTTAAAAAAAATCAAAACCAGAAAATTAACGTGGGTGTAACACTATTTATCCTACAAATATTATTCAAATTTTGCCAAGAGACCCAACCTAACTGCAAATGGAAAAATCGTTCCCCAGTTCAGGATCCAATG